AATGAAATATTCCAGAATTATTATTATTATTATTAATGGAATGTAGTTGGGGCACAAAGACTAGCTATTCTTTGAGTTTGTATATTTTCCCCATTCTTAGACACTGTACTCACCAGCAGCTTATAGTTTGTTTACAAATCCCAGCAGCTTTTTTTTTTTTTCTGGGTTACATTTAGATATGTATTTTTTAATTAAATAGATTTTATTTCTTCCTTTTCTAACAGAGAGAGCTGTGAATAGTTTACAGTCTAGTTCTTCCTGAGGCTTAGTTTTCTTAGCAATTCAAAAACAGTAACTAACATATATCTCATCTTAGGCTTTCTCCTTCAGCCTGGCTTCCATCCAACAGCTCCTCTGACCCGGTCTCCTTTCACTAGTTGCCTTTATTTTGGCTGTTTCCCAATTTCCCCTATATATGGATTGCAGTTAACCACTTGTTGTTTGTAAGAAAGAATTCAGTACTTAAGGTTCTAATGCATCTGGAGTCTTAGAGAAGAATTATGCTCCATTCCTTTTTAGAGCAAAACTTAGCCAACAACAGGCACCCAAAATAAAAGGTGTTGTACCTTTCACTTATCAAACATCGCATTCTTTCATGGGTCCTACAAGGTAACGTCGTTTCCTGGGCACTACAACTCCTGACAGTAAGAGCGTGCTCAGGAGACAACAGCTCTATTTCTAGCCCTGTTGTGTCCCTTCCACATTTTCTTTTGATGACTCTCCCCTTTGCATTCATCTGTTTCTCAGATTAAGTATTTACTTCTCCAATAAAACCGCCCCAGACAGTCAGCTCTCATGCAGAGCTGTTAGCTCTGTCACACTGCTTCACAATTACTGAGGAGCAATTAAGTCGCAGGAAACTATTCTGCTGAAGATAAATAAAACAATGGCTTAATAATTGAATTCATTTTCTCACATCCCCCTGCTATACAGAACCATAGAAAGGTGACTGATAAGTGACTACAGATCCTGAAGGGAGGCACAGTTAAAACTATGGTTCTTGTCCCAAACCTCCGTACTTAAAAATGCAAATTGGTAAATTTTTATGAGAAATGCACGAGAATGGGCAAAGGATTTGAACTGAAATCCTAGAAGGAAAGTAAATTTCCCGGGATGGGAAGAATTTGTTTGTTCTTGAACTCTGTCCAAGAGTCTCACACATCCATCAGTTTTGACGGTGAAGGTGAATCTACATGAGCACATGCAGTGACAAAATCTTCTCCATTCTTAGCTCTGCTTCATAAAGTTAATCAGTACTACGTCTACACAACAACTTTGCTAGCACTTCATCTCTTCATACCAAGAGGGAAAGCCTTATCTTGCCTTGTGTTTTCACGAGAATCAAAAGCTGGCTCCAATCCTTGAGCTCCATCCCTATGGGAATACTGGGCAGAACTCACAAGCAGCACCATGGTGTACCTCACTGCATAGTGAGGACTAGCCAGAACTCAAGTTCTTCATAACATTTTTTAATAATCACTGTTTTCAGAGCACAATTACACTTACTATCACTCTGCTTCTCATAAGAGCGAGCAGAAGCGCTCAATTTCACATTACGTTTGACAGCAAAACTGCATTCATTAGTATTGATATACAGAATGGTTCTTTTCAAGTACTTTGAATACACTTGATCTCTTTTCCAGTCTAAAAGACTTGCTAACAGCTTGCTGTGGAGATAGAAGGAAAGGAGAAAAGGATGGTCAACATAAAATAGCAGTCTCCTTCTTGAGAGCCTGAGACACGCACTGCTCAATCCTGCAACCCCACTTCAGTTGCTTGCACGTAGATTTGCATAGACAGACACTGCCCCAAACGATCCGGGAGTCAAAGGACGCTTTCTCTGATGTACTTGGCTCTTAGTGCTGCTAAGGTAAGTGAACTAGAGAAGCCCATCTACAAAGGTCTTCAATGACCTCTATAAATTAAGTGCGCGCACTCAAAAACTTTGAATAAATCATTAAGTTTGCTGAAAAGCGTAACTGTAACCCTCCCACAAACCTGTTACTTAAGCAACACTCCATTTCACACCAAGAGTTTCCTTTTTAAAAAAAATATATATATATTTTTTTTAACTTTTAATTAGAAAGTAACGAGAAAAGAATTTAATTATTTCACAATGCTGGCTTTTCATAGCTGCACAATTATGTACATTTCATGAGAATTTATCTTCACTGTGAAATCAATCGTCACAGTCTCCATTTACTATACATTACCAAGTCACATTTGATTCCTGTCACAGAACTGTTGACTTCTGCAGTAAATCAAAATGACAAATACTGTTAAGTTTCCTTCTGCCTCTATCCCCTCAACTCCTAACTCAAGACGGTTTTTCCTGCTACGCAGTGAAATGAGCATTTTCCTGGTAACTGTATTTCAGAACTGGAAAGGTTTTCATAAATGGAAAAAATGCAATGCATAATCCAGGAAACTATTGAAATGTACAGTATCAGAAACATATGGCTGTAGCAAAATACCTATGCAATGAGGGGCTGGAAATGAAAATGAGAACAAGCTGATTAAAATTCTTCTCCTAAACAGATATTCCTTGAAAATTAAAATATTTTAGTAGGACATTCAAAAAACTCACAAAATCAAGGGAAAAAAAAAAAACACCCCACAGATTATGGAAAAAGGAGATTTGGAATAATCTCCATGCTATCGTCAGTCGCTCTGGAGCAGATGATTTTGCCTTTGTTCTTTAATGATCCACATCTTAAACAGTAAAATGTTTCCATAACAAGAACCCTCAGTGGGCAAACTCAGAAAACTGATTTCTTTCCCAATTACAAGGTTTTAGAAAGAAAGTAGAAACTAAGCTAATCATTACATTAATTTTGACAAAGCAAGCAATATTTGGTGCCCTCTATACTCAGGAAGCAGATCAACGTAGTAGCATAAAATAAAACAACAGAAAGACTCCTCATTTCAACAGATTTTTACCATTTTTTTGTTTCAGTTTCCCCAGGAAACTGGGAAGGGAACACGGGCCCCAGCTGAGTGCTGGATCGCTTTGCTCAACTTGCAGTATCCCTACTTCTGCTGAAACAATCTATGAATGTAGGAGACACTGCAAAGCAAACTGATACTCAACTTGTTTTGACTGATTTGTGCCAGGAGGCAAATTTTTGTAAATATGAAAAAAATCAGTTGCTTCACAATAACAGAGGGGCTGCTGTTCTAATTAGAATTCAATAAACGTTTCTTCAAGAACAAGTTCTGCCTCCTTTTAAGTTGGAGGAGTGTCTTTGTAAACAGCCACTCCCAAGACAGTTATTCTGTGGTCTTATCATCATGCTGTCACGTCTCAACATGCCCATACAGACACACGGGTGTTTTTAGAGCAGCCTGCTGATGCTGGAGGCTCTACTCGCAGCCCAAATGGGCACGGTTGTCACAGACATGGCAAGCATTTTAGACATCTGACTTTGAGATCTTTGCTGTCTGGTGTGCGTGAAGATCCAGTGAAAATGCAAATGTGCAAATAATGCTCAAAGAAATCCCAAAATTGCCAAAGGAAATGCATGCTTACCTTGGATTTTCATGGCAGTTCAGTGATTGATATTTAAGATGATGAAAGCATTCAAATGTTAGTCAAGCAAAGGAGAAACAATGAGGCTAAACTTAACAGATTTCTCATGGAAGGCTGACATCAACCCACCATGACAGCCATCCTTCCTGACGAAAGTATGTGCAGTGATGGGACAATGGACAAATCACACAGCTACAGTAGAAAATCATAATTACATTAACTTCCAGCATCTGAAGAGAAAAGATGAAAAGTTTTGCAAAGTTTTTTTCTGTGCTCCAGAAATGCTTGCTGAGAATAAGATTTCAGAGACATACTTTCAAAGGACATCTCTTGGCAAACAATGTCCACATGTGGGCTAGCTGAGATGTCAGCAAATGTAGGCAAAGCCTCCTTGGGGCAGTTCAGAGTGAGACTCACATTGCGTCCTCATGTTTCTGGAGCCAGCAGAAACTTGACAGCCCAGAAATCCTGTGCTTTGCTTTTGCTTTGCACAAGGGAGGGACACTTGTAGCTTCTGAAAGAACTATTTCTAGCCAGTTCAGGAGCAACAACAGCTGGCTCTGCAGGGAGCCACATCCAGCCCTCATCATCTTGAACATCTGATTGAATTGCCTAGCTTTAGTGGCTGGGGGGGGTAGATGTGAAGAGACTCAGCAGAAAAGAAGAAAACAATGGCACTGATGAATACTACCTCTAAAAGACATTCTACTTATTTTCCTGAAGAAGAAACTACAGAACTTGCATTTCATTGGCTGCAGTGCAATTCCACTGATCTAACTACAAATGCAGTAATAAATCAGTAAATAAATTAACAAAAATGCAGGTCATTTATATGCCTTTAAGTGTTCTCATGTTTTCCTGGCTTAGTTGTGCAGTTATCTGAATTGGCTCTGCCCCCTCGGTGGGCTTCCTCAGAGTGACCAATCCCTCAAATCAGAGGACAGAGTCTGAAAGAAAAGTCTGAGGCAAAACACTACAAAGCAAAGATTCCAGTGAATTGAGAATGCAGAGGATTTGTTCTCCATTCAGCTGTATTTAAACCCAAACAAACAATAAAACGATGCTCAAGAATACAGACAAGCAAGTTTTTCCACTGGAGAAAGTGGAAAGCAATGACGCGTTGGTGATTTACACCAGTTGAATCTGGTCACAAGGTACAGAAGTCATGAATGTTTTGGTAAGCCTAGGAGACTGCCAAACAAAACAAAAATAGGATCAGGAGATGATTATTCAGCCATGCAGAAAAACTAAATGACGAATCACGGAGCATTTCACCCCATGAGTGGCCAGGAGAACGGACACTAACCTTTCAACCCATCATTATGCAACAGCAAAAAAGCAGATGAATCGAGAGTATCAACATTTTGTTCACTCAACACAGTGGAAATAGCAGAACTGCACTCCCAGTTGTTAAAATGCTCAGTCAGATACACCTTTATGCAATTATCTGCAGAAAAGCACATTCTCTTACCTCTGCTCCGTGTTAAACAATGCAAAGATATGTTTGCTAGACATGAAGCTCTTTTCAACATCACGCACTTTCAAGTTGTCCAGAGGAAGCATGTACTTCTTCTCTTTTTCCTAGGAAAAAACAGATCAAAACAGCACTGTGTAAGAAGACTCAAAGAAGTCTGACACCAACATGCTCTGATCAGTCAGCGGTATCTTCAGTACTTTTATTATAAGAGTATATCTAAAATCAAAATGGCTCGTTATCTTTCACAGATATAACTGCAAGAGAAATGAAATGTCAGTTCCAGTTGTTTTTCTCTGATCCTATTGAAATGTTTCCTAACAAAACCAAAGTAATCCACCAGAAATAAATAAGCATCTACATTTATTCTTCTCCCTTCCTCTGAATTCTAAGAAGACACAGATTTGACTAAAAGGAATCTAATCAATACAGAACACTCCTGCCGTGTCTGTGCAGCGACTGGAGTAAGCTGTGATATAAAATTAATCTATTTGGAAGTACTATTATCAGATTTTTTTGGCTGGCATTTGATGCTTCCTGGATAAAATTTCTTTCCACTAGTCAAGCATATCAAATCACAGAAAATCAAATATATACATTGCACATAAACAAAACTGGACTCCACTCTAACCAGCTCAGTGTCCATACAACAGACATTATCTACTCTCTCTTGCTGTTGTGAACTATTCTCTTATTTATTCTCTCATGTATCGCACTCTCATTAGCAGCACAGTCTCATTTACAGCACAGTTGGTACAATTTCTAGGTTGTAAGTTTCTGGCTTCGTCCACTCTAAATTAAGGACTAGTAACACCGACAAGCTAATTTATGATGCCTCAACAAAAGGGTCCTAAGATTGCGAACCATTCCTGTTGTGTTTAGCTTCATTGAAGTCCTGCTACTGATAGAGAAACCAGGGCAGAACTCTCTGTTCTTCTCTGCTAATACAGTTCATGCTAAGTAGATGTCATTTAAAGACATCTTGCAAAACAAGAGGGACATCACCTGCATCAGAACATTTATGCCCTGAAACTTGTGCATCAGAGCATTTATGCCCTAAAACTTGTGCAGTGAATACCAGATGATCTTCTCCTGAACTTAGCTATTCAACAACCCCATGGAAGAAGTTCAGTTAATAACCAAAGGAATAAAGCTGAGGATTCCTTTACAGTTCCCTGCCCGGCATCACAAACTAAGACAGTCTGAAAATGACCATCATTAGAACTAACTGTGAAATCTTGTACCCATTGCACTTGCTGAAGAGGACTGAACAGGACGCTGCTTGGTAAGAAACATTCATGTGGTTTATTGTACCATGAAACAGAGTAAAAGGACCAAATTCAGCTAGCAATTGTTTTTAATTTGTACAAATTCCCTTGTCACTTCCATAAGTAATACACAAAAGTAACTTCCATGCAAAGAACTGGAAGAAGTTCTAGCTGTTCTGCAGTGTGTGAGCTGGGAGGGCAGAAGCAATAACACTTGGCTAAGCTTCAGCAGATTGCAAAACTAAACTGGATGGGAATGTATCTACAAGTGAAACTGTAAAAATATTATAGTGATGTGTCCAGCAATGGCTCACTTTCCTAGACAGCTTTATAACAGGCCTCAGTAGAGGAAAAATGCATATTTCAAAGGCCCTTCTGGTAAAGCTTGGCTACTACTGTTTTGTCAAATCCAGAGTGGAAGTATTACATAAAAGTTATCTGATGCATTTTCAAACTGTCTAGATCAGCCATCTTAGAAAGTGTACCCAGCTAAATATGTAAAGGTCACATACAGCATATTCTACACTCTCCCATCTAATGAGTATTCTAATGAAAGACCCTTTAGGTCTGTCAGTCTAAGCTACTTATCAGAGGTAACCTGTGAATTAAAGATAAATTATAGCTTTCAATTGAAACCTGGACTAAATTGTAACATAAGGGGTGAGGTGCTGGAACTGGCTGCCCAGAGAGGCTGTGGATGCCCTGACCCTGGAGGGGCTCAAGGCCAGGCTGGATGGGGCCCTAGGTAATCTGATTGGGTTGGAACTGGATGATCCTTGAGGTCACTTCCAACCCAAACTGTTCTATGATTCTATGAATCATTTATGATTCCATTACCAGAAATGTGAATGCTTCAGATGAAGAGCTTGTTTAGACAGACGCTATTTACTGATAAACCAAGCAACAGATGAGTAAAAATAGCACCCGATGAAAAAACTACACCAAGATTCTGATTGTCTATTCAGAAGTAGGAAAGTTTTGTAAATGTTTGGTGCCAAACTGTGAGAAAGTGTTTGTTCTGTAGCCACCAGGAAAAAGGAAATGCCTATTGAAGGCTAAGAAGTGGTTGGTATTTATTTACATGGCCTTCTACCCACATGCTGAGACAGAGCAGTTTCCAAGAAAGGGAAATCATAGGGTGCCTGCGCCTGGAATTCTAACAGAGACAGCATGTCACACATGAGAGATCAGACCTAAATGTTGCCTAATTCCAGGAGAGAAGTATTACTGCAATATTCAGGCATGGCAGCAAAACTCAAAGCTTTTTTTTTTTTTTCCTAAACAAGAAGAAATATATCCGTATAAGACTGTGTGTGAGCTAATTTAACATAAGATGAATATAACAACATTTCAGCCTCAGCTCAGTTAATACTGTATTACAGCAGGGCAAAAAGTCTCCAGCCAGGACTGTATCTGTGCGTGTTTCTTGTCTTGAGAAGCTGACAGCACAGAAAATAGGGAATGTATGAAGCCTGGGAGGAATGGGGCTAGGCACACTTCTACAAGTGACGACATGCACATAGCTGTGGGTCCAGTTTGTCCCCTCAGCATTTGTTCTTCTTTATTTATAGATTTTTATTTTTACAATGGAGCAGAGAACTTAAGCATGACATGAGGGGAAAAATGAAGTGTAACGTGAAGGGAAAAACCAGCACATGCTGATCTCATGTACAGACTTTGCTTCTCTTTTTCCTATACAGTGTAGAGGAGCAGAGGGAAAAAGTGGGAGGCAGCACAGCGCATTCCTGTCTCTCTGACATAAAAGAAATGCCCATAATGCACCTTAGAAAAACAAACCAACCTGCAAGCCTGCAAGGCCTTCCGACCCTTGAGACCATGTTTCACCACCCGTGGGCATAAGTAGCACTCATGTCCTTAATGGACTGGTTCTCTCCTGCACTCTGACAGGCAAATAGGCTGCCAGGAACTGACAGCATGATGTAAATATGCCATATTACAACTGGCCCTTCCTTCTCCAGTGTTTAAATGTACTAAAAATAAATACTGCTGAAGTCCAAGATGGCACAAGGGATTGAAAAAATACAAAAGCAGCTCCCCTCCCCCAGCAATGTTTCAGCCAGTACTTCCCATCCAATGAACTTCATTTTCTTTCAGCCAGAGGCAGAAATGATGTAAAACTACATTCCCCCTCGTCTCTGCTTTTGCAGCTTTGTAGGTTCTGTCAGACCAGCAGAAGAAACCTTGGACGCAATTTCATCTAAGTGGCTTTTTCAAAGAGATTGTTTACTTCCTCATCTTCCAGTTATCAAAGTGGATTCTCATTTCTCACTTCAGGATGGTTACTGTACAACAACATGCAGGACAAACTGCGCTCCCTGTTTTACATCCTGAGGAACAGAAGCAGAATTCACAGGACAGGTCACATACACGATGCTCAGGTTGTGAGATACGTTTTAGTCTGAACGTTGGCCTAACACCTTCAGTTATGTCACTGGGAATTAAGCCAGTTTGCTGACCCCTTAATGCTTTTTGGAATGCCAGTGACACCAAGACCTGTCTACACTACCTGGGAGGACTGCAAGTCCAATGAAATCAGACTCTCAAGTGGAAGTGCAGACAACACTGGCAAAGCCTGATGAGAGCTATTTTACAGCAAGGTTTATTCTGTACGTTTTGTCCTGAAAGCACAGCTCTCGAGAATTATTACTGCAATTGCACACTGACAGCAAGTACAAGGTATCCATGAAAGACAACTGTCAAAACTGTTATGCATGATGAGGCAAAACAGTGACTTAAACTCATAAACTGAGGAAGGACAGATATGAATGAAGGTCTGTGAGCAGCCGACAAAAAGGCCAGCACTTGTATTTCTGAAGCAGGTTTCCCCACCAGCACGGCACTGCTCTCTGCATTAAGTTCACCATCAGCACCTCATGCCTAATGCTAACCTGACCTCGTGATCATCGTCTTTAGGAGCAGCTGGTGATGGCAGGCCATGATTAAGGCATCCTTCAAGCAGGGTGCTAATGCAGTTCACCTGAACACCAAGGCCAAGCAACCATTCGGCGAAGCAGTTAAGCAGCAGAGGCACAAAATAACAGCTAAACGATGTCCTAGAGCACTGTACTCTTGGTTAGCTGGATCGTTACCCCAGCTTTGCAGACAGGAACAAGCACAAGAAGTGGTGGCTTGTGAACCTGCTGTACCAGGGTGATTTGTATTAGAGAAAGAATACGAACAAGAAAGTGTGAGGAAATGCTGGTGAAGTGTGCTGAAAATACACCCCCGTATCTCTGGAAAAGGCACAGACTTATTTACATCTATGGGAGATGCATGCATTGCCAATACAGAATAGAGCACTCTGAGGGATTTGATAAAAATGCAGACTAAAAGTTTCAAAGCAACTTTCATAGAATTTAAATCTATTTCCAGGAGTTACCCGTAATCTAACTATATCCAAAAGCATTTTACTGTCCTTTTATTTCAGCTTATTTTTCTCAGTTTAGAAAGCCACAATGCATCTTCACAACAGTCTTTGCTTGATCACACTTGGCTTTAAAGCATGCTCTGAAAAAATGAAGCATAAGATACTTGCAAATTACTCCAAACCCTTGTAGAAAAACGAGGCAAATAATTTTGTTACAGACAACTCATTGGAATTCAAGCCTGGGTACAGCTGTAGGAAACATAACTGAAGTGTCTATAAAACAAAGAAGGAACTGCTTTAACAGAAGAGCAGTGCATCCATAAGCATTCAACCGCTGTCACAAAAAGCATAGCAAAAGAATACTTAGTGAATTGCAGATGACAAAACCGTGTTCCTTCTACCTATGCACTCCTCCCTGCAGCCTTCCACCACCAGCCCCTACATGGCCTTA